AGGAACAAGGACGCTACTAGGGGCTCCTGGCCTTACTACTAGGAACAAGAAGCTACTAGGACCTTTGCTAGGAGTTGTTTTTCGACCAACGCCACGCGAAGTGTCTGGGAACTGGTCGACCGATCGGGCCAGGAGTGGTTCGAAGGGGTCAATGGGTTGGCATATAGATATTCCAGTCCCAGACACTCCGAGTGTCTGCGGTTGTGTATATAAAGGCTTCAACATTATGACCTCTGACCTCTTCGATGGCTTTTTCCGCTTACTTCACTGGGTGACTTCTCCTCCTCCTCCTCCTCCTCCTCCTCGTCGTCGACTCCTTCGTGTCTCCTTTGTAACGTTTTTGGTGACCCACCGGACCGTTGTTTGGTCCCTTTGACTCTGTCAGTGACCGTCCAGGACCGTTGGGTTCCATCGGAGGTTTTGAACTCCCTTGCGTGTCTTCGTTGTTGGTGGTTTTGTTTGGAGTTGATGAATCAAATGAATCAGATTCTGAAATGAAACCCTTCAGGGTGGTCACACACGCTCGCAAAACAAGACACAACAGTGAAAAAAGCTTGAGTTCACTCCCTGTGTCTCCAGCTGCAGAGCTTGCTAGCTGTAGATGTTCGAGACATTTCACTACTTCACTCTCCTGAGATACTCTTAGCATAAGACTGATATGAGGGGAAAGGAGAAAAACTTAGCATCAAGGCTACACATTCATTCTGAGTCTGCATGAACCGTCTGAGAGTTTAATGCACTGTTCCTGAAAATCTCATCACGGAGCATCCAGGATCCTGGCCGTCCAGGCTGGACTACCCAGCGTACTACTTAGGGATCTTCATTGGCACCGAGCCTGGAAGGTCCATAGAGTTCGGATGCGAAAACTGGAGGAGGAGACAACCTTAAAACTGCCCCAAGTTGGAACTCATCGCCCTCAACTTGGTCAAGTGTTAGCCTCATTTGAAAGGGCGATTACTTAGGAGGTCTTGTGCTTTGGCTATGAGTAGGTTTGGGCACGTGTGGCGGAACTCTTGCAGCCACAGGGGCGCTTGATATCGCCTTCTTTCGCTTCTTGCTGGGCGACCTGCGGTGTGGTCGCCAAACCGATTCGGATGTCTACCGTTGAAAAAGAACAACCGGGCGGAGTCCAATCTGTCGACTAATTCATGGAGACTCACGCAGTACGTAGCAGCCAAACACAAGTGCACCCGAACAAATCCGAACAGAACCTGGTGGCCAACGGACCATTTCCGTCACAACTTTGGGCATCCGAGTTGGCTTCTCGATGTTTCTCATGCTGACTCAAAATAGCTCAGGGCAATGCCTTATCCAAACACCCAAGCTACAACAATGTCGACTGGTCGGCTGAAATGCACAAGTCCTGTGCAATGAATGCACTTTGATGTGCCAGTTAGAACTGCAAAAATGGACAACAAGTTGAAAACATGACGACACACTGTCAAGCATGACTGAATATACTGTCACGGTAGTTCTTTGCACTCTAAACCTCACCAAATGAAGAACTTCAGGAGTTGTCATACAGCGATAAGCCCTTCGCCACCGTTTCGACCATTGTTCAATTGACTCTAACACGTTTGCTGCCTAGAAGACAGACACTACCCATCGCCCACGTTGAGTTCGGATACTCTTTAAATAACTGAAACCGTTCTAATTATATAGAAGGGAAATGTGTGCCCTTCCAAGTCAAATGCTGCTACACTATACATTTGTATATAAGGTGATATAATGTGATATACTTTGCTGTTGAGGAAAGGGATAGGTGGCGGGGAATTTAGAGTCTAGAGAATGTCTATAGACAATTATATTATATACCAGAAATCCGTTCATTGTTCAATCAAAAACTAAGATAAGATCGATTAGTAGCCACACGACCTTGTCAGATTGGACCACGTTGAACCCCAAAACCACCAAAAAGAGAACACCGCTGGCACATCCCCTCTCCCCACCTCAGCAATTTGTCTCACCGAGTAGCTCATCCACCACCGCACAGCCGGAATCGGAGGAGCAAAGTTCCGGCTCTTCCAGATCCGTCACAGCTCTTCCCGCGCCATCGGTCGCCATGGCATGACCGAGACTCGTCGAGAAGAGGATGGTGGGCTCGGTCCCAGGTGAAGAGGTGTGAGACGTCCAGCTTGTTTCAGGTGTGGTCCCAGCATCAGGTTTGTACAGATTCTGGACACAAACTCTGCTTGAAAGTAACGTTGCCAAAAAAGATTACCACAAAAGACCAGCTATAGTAGAACCTCATTTTGAGGTGGCTTCAGTTGTACCTCCCCCTTCTATCTCGGGCAAGACCTTGTCCACCTCAGTCTCTCAAACCTATTTGAAGAGCGCAGGATGTGTTCAACAAAACCTGGCATCTTGAGAAAGTTCAGGCACATCTTGCTCACTTGTTGAGGATGCTTTGTTCCTTCCAATCATACACCCCCCCTGGCATTTCAGGTATTTTGGTGAGTAGCTGCATGTCCATAATCTACCCAAGCATGTGTTATAGTGTAGCATATTATTTGCTTACAGTCAATGAAGGCATGTTGTTTTGATTCCAGCTCCACGGAGTGTCCCAAGTCTCTGACTCTTCCGCGCTTCATTCTTTCCCATTTGGTGTCTAAACGTCCAACCTGTTGCTCAATGGGTCATTGGGAGTCGTACCAGGCATCATTCAGCATGGCAAACCCGTTCAGGATTCAGAAAAATGTCTGCTCTTCGTTGTGCAAAACCAGGTTGTTGGAGCATCCGTTCTTGATGGAGCTTGGGCTTTACATCGATCACCTCCGTGCTGACGAACCCGTCATAGGACTTGAGTCAAATGCTCTAGCGAGTGTGAGCTACAAAGGAGGTTCAAGAAGCAAAAAATCACCGGTTCACTCGCAAAAACCAAGCAAGAAGTGGATGGTATGGTTTCTTCAAAGACTACTTTCCTTTAGGAACAGGAGGAGTGGCCTATATAACGTCCATGCTCTCTTTTTGAGCATGGCTCCAGTCAGCAACTCCAGGAACAACCGAAAATCCAGTCATCTGCCTCGTCTGTCGCCAGCTCCCCATCGCCAGCATCCTGTTCAAACTGGTTGGTGATCGATCCATGACCTTTCTACCGTAGGACAACCAGGTGGAGAGCACTGAGCAGAGTCTATAGAGATAGTACTGCCGGATAGAAACTATTGGATCCGAGTATTGAACAATACTACTAGTGAACTAGTAACTAGAGTACTTCCCGAGGAATTTACCCTCTTTGATGTAGACAGACTGTAGACTCTTAATTCATAACCCCCTGCATGAATCCATCTCGGGGGGGTTATTCATCAAAAGTCTACATAACCCTACAGGTCCAAAGACCCAGCAAAGCCTGCTCCTTTACCTCATGGAGTAGCATTTTTGTACGACCTCCAGTAAAATGAGGTCAAACTGACCCGTAGGGTAAGTTTACCTCTTGACACCTTTTTGTAATGCTTCACTCTCCGCGCCGCGGGAGCACGAGCCATGAGCCTGCAAAGCCCCCGGTCCTGGCGCAACTCTCGGGCCAGCGCACCCACCGAAGCGCTGCCTCCCACATCCTGCGGTGAGGGGCACGTTCGGCCTGGTGGGAGCAGGTTCTGCGGATACAGAAGTCATGAACAGAAGCAGCACTGCCTCAGGAGATCTGAGCAGCAGGTTCAACATGGTGCAACATGGTGCAAGAAGCAAAAAAGAAGGGCAAGTATGGAACGACCAAATGCTCCAAGTGCCGCCCCCAGAAGCTCAAGGTGATGCAGTCCCAGAGTTCCCCAGAACCTGAAGGACCATCCCAGTCACTCCATGCAACTCCATGTGACCCCAGGGACCACGGGTGATCTGAGATCGGGTCTTCCTTTTGCCGGTTTGATTCTGTGGATCAGTGGATGTTCTTTACAAGAGAAGAGAACCCGGAAATCAAACTGGAGAAACACCACTGCGTTACAAGTGTGACCTGAAGATGATGGAAAACTGCCTTGGACCACAGGGTAAATGTGTGTTGGAATGTCCCCCGTCTTTTCTGGGGCATCCCGGCTGAGAGGAGGAGTTCCACGTGTCGGGCCAACCTCAGCAGGAAAATCGGTGATTTGGGACGCCTCTTTTTCTGGGCAGCTTCTGGCTCTGAGTGGCTGGGTGGAAGTAGACCCTCAAACTTTGGAATGCAGTCAGAATGTGGAAGCCAAATGGAACCAATGCGTGTACCTCCCATACACTGCCATACACTCCATATCTGGAATATGCCTACATTGACCCCTGAAACCGCCCCAATGTATGCATTTTTATATATAACATGTTGGTAAACATACAAATCCCATGGAGTGTCTGGGAATCAGATTCCTTCGATTCCTTTCATCTCTTTGCGCTTTTTAGGGCTCCTTCTTCATCTTAACAGCTCGAAAAGAAACCGAGTGCCCATTCCATCGCCCAAACGACCTCAAGGTACTGGGTCCAGGTCTCATTGGGTGACCCCTCCGATACTCAGACCGGTCAACGACGCCGAAACGCCTACGACGCCTACAAAGAGACGGGTCTTTGGAGCCCGAAACAGACCTAATGACCTGGATCTGCCGAGGAATGCTTTGCGTGCCGAAAGGAGTGGGCAAAGCATGGTCCAGATGAAAGAAACAGAAAGTGGGCAGTTAAATGTGACAAGAACATCCATCAACGAAGCATCATCCAGATGCTCCATGTGAATAGAAATCACACGGAATAGAATAGAAAGTGTGGTTTTGAAGCATCCCACGACTCGTCCGACGAGTCCAAGCCAAGTCCAATGGGTCGGTCCCGGCGAACGAATGCGTCCTGCGCGAGGGCGAACGATGGGCGATGGAACCTCCAGTGGGCGACGTTTGATTCGTCCAACAAGATCAACAAGTTACAGGATGTTACAGGTTTACAGGTGTATAGCCCCTAGGATTCCAACCATCGATTTCATAGCCTGAATCCCAAAGAACCATGAACCAGGTCAGCGCATTCTTTTAATGGTCTTGGAAGGCTAGGGGTTGTAGTGTATAGGCTTCAAAAGATTTTGGCCAAAACGCTGAAAACAAGGTCCTGTCTAAACAGTTTGGGAGGGAGCCACGAGGAGGCGGGCCTCTGTGATCCTTGCCTTTCACCGCTTGTTTGGCCCCAGAATGCATGCAGCTCTGAGACCCCGGCTCCAACTCCAAGTGCGGTGGGAACGGGTGCTGTCCTTCTAAGATGACCTGAGATCGAATCAGCCAAACATGCATAGCGAAGATCGATCCAGCGTTACGTTCTCTGGTGACAAACACTGGCCTTGAGATCTGAAACTGCCATGGTGCTCGTCTTCCAGGGAAAAGGATTACAAGTCAGTTTCCCCAAGATTCTAGGACCCGATTCATTAAGCTCGCTTCTTCAAGGAAGCCCCCCCCGCCCTCACTTGAAGAAGCGTGAGCTATCCTGTGTCCAGTTAAGGAGGCAGGGCCACTGAGGATACTTTCCACAAACATATCTATCCTACAACTTCTCGGGAGCAATTTCTTCGCTGGTGTGGACAGAACCCGTGGAGACCGCATGGGTCAAGATTCGTGAGTCCAGTGTCTAGGTGGTTCAAAGACTTGAACATGGTCTCCACGGGTAGTTCCCGTGTTTGGGGTGATCGCCTTCGTCAGATGTCTTAAGCCTTTTGCCTTCCAAGAAAGGTCGACCTGGTTTTGTAGTTTAAAATCCTCGGTAAAGCAGTTCGGTTGTTCGGTCATTGAATCGATTACTGTAAACCCATAGGGTTAAGCAAAGCCCGTCCTGCGCATTGCGAGAGAGTGGGCCACCGGACCCTGTGAATGGTGAACCAGAAGTTCACACTGATACTCCAAGTGTCGCCTGAGCCACAAAGAGCATTAGACTTTAGACAAACTTACAAAAGGTGGATGAAAAAACAAAGCCATGTGGATTTCAAGTAGTTTAGTTATAATTCAAGTTATTCCACGAAACATCACAAAACCAAACAAGCATCGCATGCACGTGGAAGAAGGCTGTTTGACACGCTAGTTCGCCCAGAATCCTCCCTGGAATCAGAAAAGACCAGTTTCAAAAGTAGGATGCAGGCCAAAGGTTTTGGTTGATGTGGCCTTTACAAACCAGACTTCTTTTCTAGTTGCTCCTAAACACACATCCCCTTGTCAGATCTCAGAATCCAGTAGGATCCAGTAGGGAAGTCGCTACTGCTAATACGGGATCTTTTCAGCCAGAAAAATGCCAAGTCCCCGGCCGGGCCCGGCAAGGCCCTGCACGTGATGCCACCAGTGCCTACAGCGCTCAAACAAACACACCCCAGAGTTCCTTCTGTGGTACCCCAGAGTGTGAGCAGACAGTACATCTTCACTTGCTCTACAACCCGAAAAAGTCTACTGTATATAAGTCAAGGTGAATGTATCATTGTTATTGTTTATACTAATTGTTGTTAATGTGCATCAAGTCGTTGTTCTTGGATGATATATGGTGAGTGTGTCTTGTCTCTTTTGAGCAAAAGATTGTTTTTGAGATCGCACAGCCACCCAGTGACTGCTTATCACATCCATGAATTTTGACCCTATATGACCCTATAGGGATCTATAGTATACTCCTCCAATCCTCCTCGAACTTGTGAATCTTTCTGGGTGTCCAGATCGGCCGGGAAAAACTATCTACTCCAGCCGAGGAGATGCCTCTGCAGAGCTGAAATCCATTCATTCCCAGCATGCCCAGGAAGTCCAGGTGAGTGTTGGACTCTCTGCCTTCTCCTCCTCTTCGATTATATTGAATAGATCAGTTTCTATCGCTCTCGGAACAATCTTCTCTAGTTTTCCGGCCAACCCACAAATAACAAGACACACCACTCCTCCCCCTTTTTACACTATGCTGCAACTGAGATGGAGCACGTTGGGATGAAGAGCGCCTCCCCGGCTTCGAGGCACGTCACCTCGGAGGGTCCCCGTGTTCTCCCGGGCGTTCCGGTGGGGTCGGGAGGTGGCGAAGGAGCTGCCCCAGACCCTAAAGTAAATGTCCAGTCCCATGGAATGGATGGCATGATGGTCTGGATGCGGTATGCTTCGGTATGCTTCATGCTTTTTTGCTTTGAACCAAAAGTCGAAGATGCAGCCTGCGAAGCTGGGCCGCCCCCGCCATGCCCTGACCCTTGAGGGCTGCTAGCTTTGGAAAGCCTTTGAGATCTGGATGCTCCAAATCCACCTTGGCTCCGAGTGGAAAGCCGGTTGACCGTAGTCCAGTTGACCATAGTCGACCGGTCGAAGACGGTCGATGTGTCGAAAGGGAAGAACTCTGAAGAACTGTTGGTGTTAAATAGTGTTTTGGAACGACAACACCAGCCATTCTCTAAATGCTCTTGCAAGGCCGGGTGTGCAAACTCTCCTGAATCGACGAAATCAGTCTGCCAGGAAAGCCATGCTCAAACCGATCCAAAACCGATTCCACCGCTTCCACTTCGACGCCCCAGCCGGGCAATACGGTCCGGGTGCAACTCACGGTCTGGAGGGTCCGTGGATGGTGTCTGGGACTCCCAGAGGATTTGGGACAGCTACGAGTAAGGAACCTCGGTCTATCGTTTCACTCTCTAGAGCCACTGGTTATCAGTGCTTTGCCTGGATGGAACTGGCAAAGCCGATCAGTTGGGGTGGCTGATGTGGGTCAAAGCCTGGTACCCTAAATCTTTACTGAATACCCTGGTAATTAGGTCGACCATGCCTCGTAGTCTATTCTGTTCATTTTTCGGTTCACTAAGGACCCCTAGAAAGACCCACAGCCGACAGCTTTCCTCTGTGACTTCTTCCAGCTCCGGCACGGCACGGGGCACCCGACCATGGCGTACTCGTCATACGGATGGGAGACAGGGAGGGGGTACAGCCTGAGCCCAGCGGGGGGTGGGGACCCCGTGCTCTCCACAACCACAGGCTATACATGAAGCTTCGTTGTTTCATGTTGTTTCATGTAATGTCATGGTCCTATTGACTTTGTTCTTACATGTTCTACTTTCCAATAGCGGTTTTGTCAGCTCCTCTGCTTGGTTCAAGGCTACTATGCGCGACAAAGCACTGTCATGTGATGACCCAGCTGATCTCAACAAAATGGTGCCCTCGCCATCCAAGACCACTAAAAGAAAGCTTGACCTGGTGTTGTAGTCAAAACCCCTTAGTAAAACCATGGTTGTTTGATAACATAGTTTGACGTCCACAGCTTCCGCCCCAATGGCAGTCAGTGAAGAAATAGATTTTAAAGTTGTATTGCATACAGTAAGCAGCATACACGAGTACACAGCGTAAAACTGCCACAATCATACATGTTCATTGATTCATATATCTGGCATTTGGAAGAAATATCAAAACATAGTTAGCAAAAGCTTGTTTAAGTAATCGTATACATATAAGTATTTAATAGTATATATATATATAAACTCGGTTGGTCCTTTTTCAATGCGCTCCGCAGTTGAGTCAAAGATTTAAACATAATCGTGGAAAAACTGTAGTCTGACTTCTAGTTCACTTCCTAGTGAACGGAGGTCCTCACACCTCAGGGACACCACAAATCTAGACCTCGCCAGACCAGAGGAAAAGATTTGCCTCCTTATACCTCCCCCGGGCCCCTCGCCATACCGAGAGCCCGGAGCCAGGCATGTTTTAAAACATGAAGTCAGCTACTTCGAAAAAACGAAATTAAGACCTGCCCCCCACCCTTTCCACGTCCCCCTTTTCTGCGCCTTGTGCGCGCGCTCAAGGGTTCTGGGGGTGTGGACTGAGAGTGAAACACGCGGGTGAACGGGAGGAGGGACTTATGGGGCAAATGTAATTCTGCTAGGACGGACAGGCCTTCGTTGATGTATATCCGGGCCGTGCGTGCGGCTTGCCAACGGCCAGCAATCAGGAGTCGATCAAGACTCCCGTGCTTGGAAAACCAGAAGGTCGAACCCCCCCGCCTCAACGAGTAGGGTCTGAACTCAAAGAGAGTAAGTTTCAGGTCGGCCAAACAAGTCTTAAACATTTTCCTCCAGGTGGAGGCTGACGAGCATAGTGACGCTCGAGGGCTGTTCTGAGCTTTCCATAGCCACAACCACTTTAAAGCGACAGCTGCTGTCAAGGTTACCGACTCTGCAGCACCGGTTCTCTTACCTCCTTTTGTCAGACCTAAACTAATCACTGCAGGCGAATTTGCAGAGCTCATGCTAATATCGGAATTTCTGATTCCCAGTACCTCGCCTGTTCTCAACATGGCATAAAACACAGAAGGATGGAAACTGAAAAATTAAAATGCCCATGGAAAAATCCCCAGCCGGCCATGGCCAGAATGGCCTGCTCTGGTAAGGGCGGAGCCCTATTCGGAATTTCCTGAGTATTCCATGTTTTCATCAGTCTCCACGTCTGCTGAAAATGCCCCTTAAGCTTCGGATCGAGGTCCTGCAACCCTGCGATCGTGTCGGCAGCGAGCCCGCGGCCCTCGCCTTCTGACCACAGGAATTCAACATATTCCGAGACTAGTGCGTCAAACTGGTCACGCCTAGTGGGTATTTCGAGCTGATTCTTGTGCAGGAAATCATAGAAACGCTCCCTGGCATTCTTATACCGTGCATTTGTTTTACTGGACACAGTTAAACCCTTCAACGGCCCCAAGGCCTTACGCTGCTGCTTCCTATCTTCTTTGCTACGACCCTCTAACACACGTGCTCTTACTTTAGCCATTTCTTACGCATCGGCCGCCTACTCGGGCGGTCCGCAGGGTTCATGGATGTGTGTATGTACCCCCAAAGGGGGTGGAGGTCTGCAGCAAGTAGATAGGAATTAATTTGCATAATGATGGGTCTCAACCGGCGACTAGAGCTTCTACCTCGAGTGAGTGCGTGGAGGCACACGAGACTGTCCGTTAGGTGTAGGAACCTCACGCCTATGCGTTTGCACCTCCAGACCTTCCACTTGACACTAGTGAGGATTGCTCGCAGCTCTAGGCCATTTATGTGTTCTCCGGAGTGTTTCCAGCGCCAACCGCTGATTTCTCGCCACTTCCACATACGTCCGGGCACGCTAGCACGCAGGCGAAAGTGTCGGGGAGCGGGGTCACTACTACTTTGGACCATCAAGTCCTCTCCCTTCATGGATGTGAGGCCAATGAGCTTCTTGACAAGTTGCACCGTATCAGCCTCCTTGACTAAACCATGTCTGCCATGCAGCGGTGGTCGAACCAACATGGTTGAGAACTCGGACGCCTGTCCTGGAGTCAGGTTCAACAGCAACTGGTCAAGCCGGGTGACCCTGCTAAGCCCTAGAGGCACTGTGAGCTGCTGCAACAACCAAGCAACGATACCTACCTGCCATGAATTACCTAGCATGGAGAGGCGCATATCTTCATAGCTGGCTCCCTGTTGCTGGCCCTTAGGAACGCAGTTTTTTGTGTACCCTACAGGAAAACCCATACAGGCCTCGCGTTCAGATGAGTCAGGACGTCTCCACTCACCTTTTTTGTTCCACAGTCCGTTGATGTCTTTGTATTGGTAAGGTGGGAACCTGAAATCGTCCTGTACCCATCGTGCCTTCTCATGCTCCTGGCATCCTTCCAGCCCTGCTGGGCGTCGTCCTGGGCAGGTGCGGGGTCGTGATGTGGTGAATGTAGGGAGGTATCCACCTTCCATGAGGCTCCAACCGGGATGCAAGAAGGACTTACTGTCAATGTCTCCCGTGAGCTCTACTTTCCCGCACGCAGTCCAGGAGTCCCCCTCAGGTTCGGTGACTCCCGCCCCAGGCTCTCCCCGCAACTCCCAGGTTACCCAGTATAGGTGGGGCCTTGCACACAGAGAAATGCCTTTCGAGTCAATCTGGTAAGGGACACGCTCAAACTTGGCGCTCATGAGACCTCTATCCGTATCGGACATGGATGCCACGTTCTCAATCAACTCGTGAACCTGTGCCCAATGGAACAGTCGCCTGAAGCAAGAGGTGATACGCGGGATTTCTTGGAAGAGGCAACTCCGGGCATCTTTTAGTGCACCCTGCTTGAAGGCATTGAGCCCTGACACACCCTGACATGGGGGCCCCGCTCCTATGATGACTAAACCTACGTTGCTAAACTTCAGGGACAGCTGAAGGACCTCTTCTTCACCAAACGTGGAGACATCAGGGTAGAAGTCGCATTCAGGGAAGAAACTTTCAACCACCCTATGGCAATGAGGGTTCTGTTCAATACTCACATGGCCGGCCATGGGCAGCCCAAGCAAGTCACAGGCGACACGAAGAGCACCTATCCCATCAAAAAGCCCTACACTGAGAACCTGGACGAGATCATGTTCTTCCGGAGATCCCCCCTACTGGTGGTATTCAGTGCGGCATGGCCAAACTGACTGAGTCCTTTTGATGCACAGAGTCCACCCCCAAATGATGAGGCGTCTGAACATGTGACTTCTCCATCAACTTTCGCGCGGAACTCCATCTGGGCTAGCGGAGAGAGGAGGATAAACCGGGCAATCTCCACCTTGACCTGGTAGGGCAGGGCCAAACGGACAACTGGGGCCTCACCCTCGAACGCCTTCATGTGCTCAAACACCGCGTTCAACGAGCACAGCAAAGCCCGTCTGAACATACAGAGGTATACGAAGCCGCCGCACACCACCTGTAGCTCTCTCAGGGTCGATTCGCCCCGTCTCATCAGCTCAAACCCCGGCCTACAATATTGGATCACCTTGATCGGCTTGGCCATGGCAAATCCTTGCTCGCCATCCAGGAGTGCACCCTGCATCTCTCCGATTCCAGCACGCTGTACCGCTTTCTTCGGATGTCGAGGTAGCCCCAAGGTCTCATAGGCCTCCCTGAGGCTTTCCACCTGTGTTGCCACTGTGCCCTTGATGGTGTCTGCCAAACAAGCCTGAACCCGTTCCAAACAGTCAAAATTGTCTGCGAAACAAGTTGTCCGAATTGGGAAGCCCTCTGTCCTTACGTAGTTCACCTTCACCACCGATTGCAGGATTACACTGTTGCGCGCTAAGCCTCACCACGTTCCTATGAACATGTTGTGCAATGGACACAGAGTTGATAAACCCCATGGGCAAGACTCTAGACACAAACACACATGTCTGACCCCGCCATTTCTCAGGAACCAGGGTCTCAGGCAACGTGCGATTAAACCCCAAGTAAGGCCTCCATACCTTTGGCCCGAGAACAAGTAAAAGAAACACCGGATGTCCTCGCTTGATAGGAGGACTACTTCACCGTCGTCCAGCAAATAGCCATTCAAGCCTGAAATGGCCGGGAGTGTCCCTACATCCCCAGCCAAAGAACGGCAGAGGGCATTGACCGGAGTTAAATTCATAATCAGCCTTTGAGTTTCGATGCCGTTCACGTACTCCCCTTTGCCAACTGCAAATAGGCCGTTCAATACCGGCTCTCCCCTAAGATGATAAATCTGTTCCAGCATGGCTTCCATGATCCCCCGCTCTAGGAGGCCTGCTGCTAGGCTCTCCCACTGTCCTTCCTGAATCATCACCCGGGGGGAGGTGGTGTACACTCGAGTATTTCTCAAAGTCCTCTATATACGCAAGCGTGCCTAACCTACAAAAGTCGGCTAAAGGCAACGAACCAGTTTCTTCAGGCAAAGATTGTTTGACGGCCTCCCATGAAAGTTTCTGGGCCAACTTGATTTCCTCACCTTGGTAACTCACCCCGCGTCCCTTGAAAAACGAATCGAAGTCAAACGTCTCCTCCGACACCCCCCACATGTGATTACGCTGCACAAGACGTGAAACACTTTTTTCCGCTTTCGAACGAACTCCAAGCTCAGCTTCGTGAGCCACATCCGTAGGAGAACTCGAGGAAGTAGCAACGGGCCCTGGCGTCCCATATCCAGCCAAATGATTGAGAGCAACGAGGGCCCCCTGAGCTGCCTCCTCAGTCAGCCGGCGCGGAGCTCCCTCTTCTTCAGAGACCTCCAGTCGCACTGTCTTCAGTGGGAACAGAGGATTTCGCCGAGCCAGAGGGTTCTCCATGTTGGAGCGCATTGTCAAAGAACCATCCTGCCGTAGAACGCTGGCTGACTTCTTGATGATGTCATGCATGCTCAAACCAGGAGCTTCAGCTTCACGCTTCTTTGCTCCCGCCTCAAGTGATGTAAATTCCGCCACGTTCACCTCCCTGCCACCAGAAGAAAAACGCTCTGTACCAGGAGTCTGTTTGGCTCCCGTGTGAAACTCCTCTAATGTTTCTTTTTTCCTTCTCCCTTGTCCTTCTTGCCCTTCTCCTTGTCGCGGTCTTTGTCCTTGCCGTCTCCTTTCTCGCCCTTGGTCTTTCCCTTCTCCTTGAAGCGATCTCTGTAGTCCGGAAGTCTCCCCGTGGCCTTGCCGTAGATCTTTGTTCTCCTCGTGCGCTGTCTTGCCTGCCTGGTGCAGCTCGCTTGAGCTCGCCAGGCCATAGTTGTCCACTTGGATCAACTCCAGCTGTTTGATCAAGTCGACCTTCATGCCTTTCGCCAAGGCTTCCAGTGATTTGAGTCTCTGTGACATCACATCGCAAGCCGACGCCACCTTTCCTTGGACCATCAGGTCCAAGGTGGCAGCCCAATGGATAGCTTCCCGGTAAATCACTGGTGACATAGCTGCTCCCATCTGCTGCCTCACATATTGGGATGTAAGAGGCTGCAGCTGTCCTGAGGTCGATGCCATACTCCCCATCTGTAATAACATGCTCCTTTGAGCATCTTGTAGCAGCTGGGCCGTTAATACTCCAGGCAGCCTCTCCCACATCTTCTGGGCGCTGGTCTGCGGTGTGAACAGCTCCCCGAAATAGTCCTCCCCCTCGCCGACCTGGCTGGAGGATGTCGAACTGGCTGAACTTCCGCTTGAGGAGCTGTCCTTGTTCCGTCCCCTCTTGGTCAACTTTTTGGCACGGCGTCTGAACCTTTTCCGCTTGATGGGGTCCGCATCCATGCCCGTGTTCTTGAAGAGGACGGTATGGTCTTTCACTGCCTCTATCCTCAGTTTGGCTTTCCGCTTTTTCTTCTTCTTTTTCTTCTTCTCGTCTGAATCCCCCGATCCTCCAGGGGCCTCGACCTTCTCTGCCGCGGCTGGTGGTCCGGCTTGAAGACCTCGTCCTTTTCCGCGGGATGCAGCTTCGAGATGAACACGTTCTAACTCGTCCCTCTCTGCCTCTGCTCGACTTGTCTCCAAATTCTTCTCCCAAGCCACGTCGCCTGCTCGATGCTGTTTGACCTGGGTCACATGGATCAAACCGTCCTCCCAAGTCCTCCTGTCGCACCTCACCCCGCATAGATGGAGTCGAACTGACTTCTCCGGCACCCCACTGATGTAGCGGAGGAGGGCCTCGCTTGAAGTGCCCATGGCTTTTGCTAGGAGCTCCCGGTCTCCCCTGCTGGCCTTCAACTCGATCATCTCCACAATGCAGTCGACGGCCTCCTCCCAATACTCTCCTTGTACTCGCATCCTCGGCCACGCCTCCATCTGCGCCAACGTGACCTCCTCTGCGGACACCCACGGCTCTTCTCCCTCTACCACCAGGGCGGCCGGCCGCCGTCTCACGACCCTCGGCCGCCCCGCCTCGGCCGCTGGCCTCCTCTTGGGCGCCATAGCCGTGCTCCTCTCTGCCTCTCTCTCCAACTGCGCCAATAATCCTGATTCCTGAGGACGTGCTTCTTCCCTTTGGATTTCTTCTTCTTTGGCTTGCTCTTCTCACCCCAGTTTGATCCTCTCCACTGGTCCCTCTCGTAACCAGGAGGTGGCCCTGGGGGTTCCCTGGGCTTGGGGCGATCTCTCTTCACTCTCGCCTCCCTCCTGCAGTGACTCTGCACAGGGTGACGGTGTCTTGGGCGGCGTCCTCTCTCTTCGCCTCCTGTCTCTCTTCCGTGATCTACTCCGCGACCTCCGTGTCCTTTCTCTCTCTCTTGACCTCTTCCTGCGACGATCTTCCTCACGGCCCTCCTTCGAAGTTCTGTGCTTCGACTCTCTCTCCTTCTCCTTCTTCTTGTCGTGTCGGTTCTCCTTGACGTCAACAAGGGGCTCACTCTTGTCCACTGGCTGCTCCTCCTTGACCTTTGTCTCGACAAGTTGATCGCCTTCGTCTCGTCGATCTCTCTTCCTCAGCCGGGCCAGGGGTGGCAGTCCCCGACCTTTGCTGGTAGTTCCGCCCCCTTCTTTTTCAGGCGGTGGGCTTTCTAAAGCCCTTGTGTCACCAGGAGCTGCCGCACCCGAGGCCGCAGGCGCTTGCTCGCCTGGCTTGTCAGGAGCTCCTGCTCCCGATGTACCAGGGGTTGCACCCCCCGATCCACTCTCCTCGCGGCCGCCGCTTGCACCAGGAGGAGATCCGGGTCGAACCACATGAACCCTGAGGGCCTGTTCAAGCAGCCGAGTGTAAAGCCCTTCGAGCAAAGGCGCCGCCGCCGACCGGATCTCCTCCCGAGTCCCCGAGCTCAGTAGGAAGCTCGAGAGGCGGGCCAGAATCCCGCAGCAGCGGCACCCACACTTCGAGTAGTCGTGCGCTAGCTTATCTCCCATACACGCTTAAGCCAGAACACTGCAATGAAAACATAACCCAACCTCGTTTTTACTTACGAGACGAAGGACCATATACACATCTGTGCACTTATATGTATATACCATGATAAAAACGTTCAACCTCCAAAATCGCCTTTCCAAAATCGTCCGTCGGGGTTCTTCCGCACATCGAGGGACCCTTCAGCACATCGAGGGTCAAAGAGCAAGAAGCGCTTCTGGCCTCTGACCTGGGCTTCATCTGGCGAAGGCAACGAACTCGTGAATCAAATCAAGGCGACGAACGAGCGCGACTCCCACAGGAGTATTCAGGCGGCACATGTTGACACGGTATCACACGGCACCAGTGCACCGTGTGGAACCGGTGAACAGAGATGTGAACTTGCCCGATCTTTGAGGTGTCATTGATTCAGTTCTGGTGCCCACGCCCACACACAAATTCCTGAGTGAACCTTCACATGAACGATGATATTGGAGGTCATGTGACACAAGACCTGCAGCACCTACAATGAAGGGATTATATCATATGAGCGACCGGCAAAACCTCCCAGCAAACTGGGTTCCACTTTGACAAGGTTATCGATTTTGGTAGTTCACCATATCGTTTTACAGGGTTTGGTATAATCCTTTTTGACTTCGCACATGCGTGTGAGGGTTCTGTCACAACCGCAAGCTCAGTCTAGCAGCTGCCAAAAGACACCCGGATGAGTGCCATTGTTCTTTTGAAAACCTAGAAGATAACCGACCAAACTCAAACAATGAAAATGAACAGTAACAATGGAACAAGGTCTGATAGTTCAGAGTATCGTTTTTGGTAGTTCGCTATATCGTTTTACATGGTTTGGAGACACTCACATCATATAGTTCGCTATATCGTTTTACAGGGCATAGGCAACTCACATCATAAAGTGGAACCTCGAAGATCAAGCACTTACATGAACTGTTTCGCCTCTAGCTCATATGCAATCACCATTGATGGATCTGTGAAAATGACATGAATGGACCGCTAATTTGAGACCTCTTTGCGCTCAAAATACTCCAGTTTTGCGACTTGGCATCAACTTTAAACAAAGTACGAAGGACCATCGCACCACCTTTGAATGGTGCCCTCAAATCGACGTGGAACCTCCGATGACCAGCTCCAAGTGCCCCCCTCCGGTGCCTGTAGGTAGATATTGTCCTCAGCCGCTGAGAGTCTGGGAGTTGCAGAAAAGGATGCCAGGGGTCACCGAGAAAGCACCGAGCAGCAAACCCTGGACACATCAGACATGACCTGTCTGGGACGGGCATCGAAAAACCAATCAGTTGGGGGTGGTTGCGGTTGCGGATAACTCCATACATGTATGGGAAAGATATGGAAAAATCCTCTAGTTGATGAGAAATACAAACCATCCGAAGGAAGAAGAGCTCATCCTGACCCTGTCAGTGCCCCCAATCCAACAGAAGCCAGGGAAGACTTCTCCCATCCAACACTTGCTTTGAGCTTAAGCCGGCTTCGATTCCATCAATGCGAAGCTACAAAACCACATGTCAGGTTGTCCACAGAATCTCCTCCGAGGCCGGCCGCCGCAAACGAATGCAAGGCGAATCCGCCAAGTCAGGACATTCAGAAACCCATCGAAATCCAAAAAGCACCGCGGTCCAATTCCAATTTCCACGCCCCCCACGTTCGTCTTTGGAGCAGCTCATCCAGCAACCCAACCCAGCATGGTGCGGTTCTTGGGGGCCCCCGACGTATTGGTCGTAGTGAATGGGCGATAAACCTCTGCAGCTCGCGGATCGACACGACTCATCCACCGAAAGGACTCATGCTCCTTCTTCGACGGATCGAAAGGTCCAGTTGTTGTTTGGGCGCCTTTTGTTTCCCTTTTGGGTGTACATTTTAGTAGGGAGACCCCCTAGCTCTATGTTCCTTCTGCCAGGGAGTCGAACTGGGAGGTCTCCCTCTTTGAATACACACCCATTTGGCACCATTTGGAAACCAGCTTTGGGTTGGTTCTGGACGGCAAGACTCCTTCCGGATGGGTGGTCGGCGAAAGAAATTCCTTCGCAAACGTTGCGAGCTGCGACAACCTTGGACACGAGCGATGACCTCCTTGAGGTCACAAGAGTCACACGAAGCGCCACAATGACAAGCAGCTCCTCCCCTCCAAGAGTCAGACCAAGTTCAATTGACCTTCTGAATCCAAGCAGTGGAGAAAGTGGAACCAGAAGTTCACCCACTCCCCTTTCTTTTTGGAGCCTCTAAAAGTTACACGATGTATACTTGTGATTAGACCCTGTAGGCGGCTTCCAACCACACGTCAGTTTTACTCAGAATACTATAGACTATAGACATAGACTACTATAGTTACATAGAATCAAACAATATTAATTAATCGAATTGTTTCAAAAGATCTTGGAAGGCTTTGGGGTTTAAAATGGAAGACATCGGATTCGATGATGTTCATCCACCGTCTGGGAGGCCAACTCGAGCCGTGGAGAACAGGTCAATGACTCGAAGCGTACGGATTCCGATGACCCATCTTCCATCATCTAAAAGGGACATGTGTTCTTGGAACGTCTTCACCTGCTTCGCTGCTTCCCTCCCCAAGATCCTCAAACAAGAACCTATAACATCTATAACATTAGCCTATCGAGTAGAAACATCATGTCACAAAAAAAAGCATGTCACAAACAAGAAGCTTCCTATCGTTAGCCTATCGTGTGATGTTTATCATCGGAAGATCTGAGGACCCTCCTCACTCGATGTTCACCAGGCCGACGACTCCCGACTCGACTCCCAGGCGTCCCGTGCTTTCGCTGGGGCCCACGAAGAGCTGGGACCGCGACCACTCCCCAAAGCCGCCCGCCGCCTACGGGAATGGAAGTGATGGGTGTGTTGGTTAGAAGAGGGGACAGCAAGAATGAGGAGGGAAGAGGAATGAACCCCAAAAATATGTGAGTGTTGATTTATGATTTCGATTGATTTCGGATATTTCATGAGATTTCCACCAGGATGATCCAGGATGTGTGAGGATTTCCAGTTTTTTGTTCGAGGATATGTGATGATTGTGTCTGCGAATCCCAGAAAGGCCTTCGCAAATGTCACACCTCTGATCACCTCTACGTCTTTGTTGCCTCCGTGACAGCAGGACGGTGGTCATGGAAGTCGAAATCCACTAAGGAGTGTGTAACAACTTGAGTTCGGAGTTTGGTCAGAAAATGGGCACATCCCCCAGCCAACGACAAAAGTTGGACCCCCGTGCAGCGCAAGGTCGTACGTTCCAACGACCATCTGCGTCAATTGGAACAACCATTCCCAGCATCGCCAACAGGGACCAGAATTTCTGCCACTGGGAACTGTACTTCTGGGATGGTTTGGGTCAAAACCACAAAACCGCACACTGTAGGTGCAAGGTGAACCTTATCTCTTTTCTCTTGAGTAGACCAAAACCTACATCTGCAAAGAGATGGCGCACAGTACATGGTCCACTTCCATCTGCCCATTGTGAAGCAATGGCAGCTTTTGATGACAGCCCTGGTGTGGAAAGCCGCCGTTTGACAATCCTGCTTTTCCGCAGCCATCGCCCTCAGCGGTCAAAGAGGCAAGCCGCGCCAACCTGCTCTACATAACAGATTCACCTCTTCCAGGGCAATTTGGTAAGTACTCCCAGCCAGTTAGTTACTGTGATGAGGTTCTCGGGACCGATTCCACACCTTCCTCCCAACCTGTGTCCGACACCTGAAGAGCTTCCAAGCGTTGCCAGTTCACTCGGGACTCACAATCCTGCCATGCAGCGCGCTGTTGTGGGACGTGTTCTTGCTTTTTTCGAGGCATACGCACATGCCGAACGCTTGGGGTTTGAACACACTGAAGTGCAGAACCGAGCAGAAGGGGTCCAGCTTCACCCAACCAGCATCTTTCCCTCAAACGGGCAAACATCATTGACTTCATTGTGTCGCAATGTCCCTCATGCTCCAAAAGTAGTCCTTGGCCTTCAAACTTCTCCAATTTCCCAGTCAAGAACCGTCGATGCTCAGCATGCCATATCCCAGGCACCATAAAACTGCTATGTTTGACCAATCAGATCAGTTTCAGTGGTTTCAGCGGTCATATGTATATGCCCTGACGATCCATGACCGCACATGGTAAAGAAATGGAAGTGACCTCATTCCATTATTTGGGAATTGTGATACGAGAAATGTATCCAAAAATCCATCGTCATTGTCGGAGGTGCATGGGTGGTTGGCGCCTGTTGATATGTTTTCTCATCATGAATTCTCCAAGTGAGTGATTGTGATTGCTATCACAACATTGATAAACCTTGATTGATCCTATGATCTCGTTTGGGTCTCGAAGACAACAAATCACGTGGCAAATGGTTGCAACATGAGAATATGACATCACGTGACCAATGTCCCTTAGAGTTCAAGTCCAGACACGTATGCTACATGAGAATATGACGATGATGAAGATAACCATGACAATAAAAACAGTGTGGACATCAAACACATGTATGTGGATACATTTCCTGACTGCATGTGGCAGGCAAGAAAAACATTGTTGAATACCCCCTTTTTCAGTCCACTGCTCTATACACGCGGGTTGCGCTATGAAACTTGCAATCGCACGGGTCAGGATGTGCGCGGATCTTCTAGCCAGCTGTATTCGAAATCAAAACTGTAACTGTAACCTATATAATTACCTCTGAAACAGTAGCTGTTGAAAGAGTAACAATTCGTGCGCGCTGCACGCAAACTGCCAGGCGGGTTCATTTGGAGCTTGGCAACCACAACCATCCACCACCTCCCATAGCATCACACGAGTTCAATCAAATACTTGTGGCTTCCACTACTCCTCAATGTTCACACTTACACGTGGTGCTGAAGATTCCTACTTGGAGATCTGAGGTCATTTCCATGTCTTTACTATGTGTGGTCATGGATCGTGGGGGAAAGGTTGCATGTGGCATGTGCATCTCGCTGATTTGGGGCGTTCCGGGCACACGTGCATCTCGCTCGGATCCATTGCGGTGCGTTTTGGCTGCTCTTCCATGTGGAAGAATGCAACCGAAGGACGTTTCGGAGGAGTGATATTGAAACTGTGCTTTCAAAAGTTGGATTCAACCCTTGTCGAAAAGCTTTGCGCAGCTTCGCGTGCGGCGAAGCTGTGCAACACGAGCATTGGAACGACAAAATGAAAATGACCGGAACCCGTCATGATACTACAATATCTGCATCTATTTGCATGTTCAATTCACCCTTGCAATTACAGCTTGCAGCTTGTATTCAATATACAGTCTTATGTCTTATGTCATATCTGTTTGAATTCAAACGCGCCACCACCGCCACCTCTCTGCCCTGAATGAATGACAAATACCATCAAATACCCATCCCCCCATCCCCGTCCACAGTCTCGTCTTCCCGGTCGCCTTGCGCAGTTCGGGGGTAAGGCCTGGACTCCAGGTCTCCTGGAGCTTCCAGGTCTCAGCCGTCGCCGAGGCGGGCTGACGCCTCATCGGCATCGATCGGCTGAGAAAGAGACCGACCCCAAGAGCTGGGAGAAAAGAAGCTACTAGTAACAAAGGGCATCGCTACTAGGAGCAAGGAGGCTACTAGGGGCTCCTGGCCTTACTACTAGGGGCAAGGACGCTTACTACTATGGGGAATGAACGAACTCAGAAAGCTTCTAGAAGTGCCAGGAGCTACGTTCGCAGCTTCCTTGTTCCTAGTAGTAAGGCCAGAAGCTACGTTCGTAGCGTCCTTGCAACTCAGAAAGAAGATCGTCTTGTATGAACGGACCGTGAAATGAGGTCCAGAAGACCTGCTGGGATAGGAAAAACGACCGAAGCATTGTGTAAACAGCCTGGTGAAGTTGGTGAATTTGATCTGCTTTTACGAAAGGTTCTCACTGGGGGGTCTCTGAAATATCTAAACTATAGGGGAAAAAAGCCCTGACAGATCTCATGCACGGTCATGGTGCGCACGACCCAAGAGGCCCATGGCGTTTCACAATGAATGAATATATGGTCCCATGCAGTGTTGTAGGAATTCCATACCCCTTGGCCTTGGCCTTGGCCCACAAAAATTGGAAAAGGGACTCTAAACAGTGAAGAACACACAGCACGGAAGCCCAATTTGGAGACCTAGTTGCACATGGGGACCTCTCCAGCATAAAGGTCGCCACATCAGTGACCAATTCGACCCTTTCTTCTGGAAACTCATGCAATGATTGCCCTACAAGATATCACCCCATCCCGAGGTTCTCAATATGTCCCCAAATCTTTCTTCCGACTCCCCTCTTCCAACCGCTCCCTGTAACTCCGGTTGCCCTGGGTGCCCAGGCAACACCAGTGGCGCTTGCAAATAATAGCAGCCACTGGGGTCCTGGGAGCGTGTTCAGAGGAGAGGAAAGCCGGACATGGGTGATTAGCACAGCAAAACAACGGTGAAACCATTGGAAGGATGCTGAGTAATCAGTAGCGTTTGATGTTTGGGTCCTGGTGACCAGTGACAAGTTACCAAACTTCCAAGAATAAACAGAACTCACATCGTGAAAGCCTTTCTCTGATGGGCCCAAAGCAAGAGACACATTTAACACATCAAACTGTTTGCTCAAAGGAGCACTGACCAAGAAGCGAAAGTATCCACATGTCTCCACCAGTGGAGAATCCGCCCCATCTGGTGACTCCAAAGGGCACCCCATCTGACCTCTCTTTTTCGCCCAATCTCCTGCTTGCTCCTCTCCAAGAATCCCTCAAAGGAGAAGCGTAAGTCAGCGCCTCATGCCGGGTCCCGGGGTCCCTCAGTCCCACGCGAACCCTCAGAAAGCGGACCAGGCCCACAAAAGCGAGCGATGTTCAGGTGCGCAGTGCAACACCGATCTGCGAACCAACCTGAGAACTCGTGTGCGAAGGTCAAAAGGGGAACGAAGCAAGGTCCTGAGCATCTTCGCATCACAAAAAGTTGAAACCAAAGGACATCAGCATTGTGGCAAGTGCCCAGCAACAGTCGTGTCTGCTAGTGGGACTCTGGGGTACATCAATTGCATCCTTTTCACAACCAAGGCCATTCCGAACAGCTGTGATCCAACTCATCCAGTTCAGAGTGGATGACAGAAACCCAGCTGCACCATCACCCTCGAACATTCCCATCCTTACCTCTTACCGGCAAGTCTCGCAAAACTCGCATGTTGCTTCCCTCCCGAACGGATGATTGGCCGCGCCATGGGCCCAGTGGCTCGCGCGACGTGGAGCATCGCGGAAGGCCGACATGTCGCGGTCAGCTTGCTCCTCCGCAGCGTCGCAGCGATCGGATGCACTTGGCAAAGATGTGCTGCCATGGATGGGCTGGTGGATGGAAGGGCTGCTGTGAGGGTGAGCACATCTCATTCAAAAGGTTGTTCTTTATATGGTTGTATTTGCAATGGCATTCAATAGCAACTTGTATGTCACAAAGGTATTCTACTGGTATTCATTGACGTGTCTTGACTCATCTGGCATACCAAGAACCCTAGTAGCCCACACATTGAAGATTTTGAAGGTGAGGAAGGCGTCGTTTGGTGCTCATCTTCCTTGAGTTCCCAAAATCGCCTTGTCCTTACGGATTTGTCGTTTAGCCGTAAATTCAATCCAACAAAATCATTTGATTGCCGAACTAGCTCGTCCCAATAGCATCACACGCGGTTCCTTTTGCTTCGCTTCTATAAACATCCTCAGTGTTTCTAGAACTTGATGTCCACCTTTCCAAGCTTGTTGACATGCCAATCAAGCATTTTTTGCCCCAACAACAGGTCGTTCTCCGTCGCCGCCACACCGGTAGCCGATCGAATCGCAGTCAGCCGGGCACACCGGGACGTAGTACAGGTAGCGATTCTGGGAACCTGGGGGCGCCCAAAAAGCATTTGTTTGTTTGTTTTCGGCTGGCGGGGAAGAATATGTTGAGTGCAGCTCAGTGACTCCAAACCACTTCCGCTCGGCAATTGGCAAGAACAGAGAATGATACATGAATCTGGTTTATAAAAGCACTTATACTGAGAGTTGGTTCATGTAGCAAATGTTAAAGGAATCTTACGTTAATCTCTCTTCTTGTTAGGTGGGAGGTTTTGGCCGCTTCTCTGTTGAAGATGTGAAGAAGAGTGAAGTATCAGACAGGGGCAGTGAAATGCAGATGTTCACACCAGGGACACCAGGGGTTGTTGACCCGGTAATCTCCATAGCTTGAAAACAAAAACTGGACATTGCGTCTGCTCAAGAGGAAAAGTCGGACTCTGGCACAGATGGTTTTTTGGCCCGTGGGAAGAGCCTTTTCAGCAAGCCTCTTGAAGGAGCCAATCATTCCATTTAGGTTCGTGGGGGGGTCTACATACACATACAGTTACATAGATCATTTACCCATTTTATGACCCTAATGTAAGGAGCTATTCCATGCATGGATGGTCTGGGACTGCTAGTTTGTTGAATCTTCATGAACATCGAAAGCCCACAGCATCGGCACGATCTAAGGAGTTCCTAGCTCTCGGCGAAGTTGCACCAGCGAGCGACGCCAACCAATTCAACACTGTTTCTTCCAAGCTCTAGGTGATTTCCACACCCGTTTAAATTGATAATACTTATAAGGCTTTCAGGTGTGGAAATCTGACTGCAACTTAGGTGTCAACATGTTGCACATAGGATTCTAAGGGGAAAGGGTTTGTCCCGTTTTAGAAGTCAAGAAGCGCAACTTTCGGCACCCCAGTGTATATGGAAAGAACATGAGACAACCGCATTCATCACACGTCGATGTCTTTCCCACTTCTATAGATACATGCGTTCCTGTTCCTTGAATTTCAGCTCCGTTCTTCCTGCGGCGGTCAGCAAATTCCAAACTGAGACGGCACACGGTCAGATCGCAAGACGTTCATGCCAGGCCATTCGTTGCAGTGGGAACCTCCCAGCGTCAAGCCCGCCATGTTCCCAGGGGTGTGGAGGATGGGACTTGATACTTCTGGTCTGGGCACCGTTTCCGAGAATCGCTGTTCTGATGATCTTCCTAAAAACCGATAGGATGCTTGTTCTCACTGTGATAAAAAATGTCATTCATTACTCCGGGGCAAACACCTCATTGAGTACTGTGTTTATATGAACAAACTCGGTGAAATGAATGAAGTCCTTTATCAATTATTACCTGCTGGGTGTTGTCAATTTCTCGGGCAAGAAGAATGCAACATTACTTCCCCTACAAACCTGGTGTCGACACCAAATGGCTTGACCTGTATTTAATATATATATATATGTAGATATTGTGCCCAAAATTCATCCAATCACTCATTAAGTAGTTAGTGAATCCCTTCTGCGCTTGGGGATTTCTACACGAATGGCTGGCTATCCAAAACGGTAGGAGGCACGGTATCGGAAGGGCCTGGCAAATTGTGAAGCTCCGTCTCAGACCATCGTGGCATAGGATCCCCATTCAGGAGCCTCTTGAAATGGACCAAGGGAAGGTCTGGGTGTCCAGTCGCATGGGTGGTCTTCTTTGGAGAAATTGACTGACGTGGTGAGCATCTCCAAGGGCATTGGTTTGGTCAGGAATGCAAGGGACCAACCGCCAGCCCACATGGGCCACCACACGCAAGTACTCCACGTCCCACTTCTGCCTAAGTTGCACATCACCATGTTGGAGCTAGTTTAAAACGAAACAATGTTAACCTCCCAGGAACAAAACTGCTGTTTCTGTATCTTCATGTCAGCACATGGTAGAAAGCTTACATATTATATAGTATTATTGTTATAACTTATAACTTTATAAAGGTGGGGTATCACTGAATCTTTCCGGATCATCTCTACCCAAGATTGGTATAGTACATAACCTTCCAATTCCTCCATCCAAAACCAGTTTGTTCTCCAAAGAAACCCCAAAAAAATTACTGGGAAACAACACGCACACCAGAAAACTGTCTGCTTTTTTATTCTTCTGGGCGTTCCAGGTCTCCCAGGCGGCATGCGGTGTCGTGCAGATCCACCGGGCTCCCCGCGTGGCCGGCATGACGTTCAGGTTCAACATCACCACTGGAACCTCTGCGTTTGACGCAGGGAGCGGTGGGTTGGCCCTTGCCGTCCACGCCGTAGAAGGGATCGAAAAAGAGTTCTTAAAGATATTGCAGTAAAAGATTGGTTGAAAGCATTCTTCAATCTGCTTGGACCACCTGGTATTCATATCCTAATAAGCTGATATATTTCTATATGTATTTCAACGAGACTTTTCCTGAGGTTCTTGGATGTTCTTGGCATCCGCAACAATCTATGCTCTGGGACCATAAGAGTACGGTGGCATTTCGTCCTTTCACCACGAAAGCACGTGACGATTTCGACTCAACCCTCCACCCGCGCGGACCAAGTGCCCGGGCACGCTGCGCGACCAAGGCCAAGGCGTTTTGAAAGCCCGCCTCGTCCGCGCAGTCCACGCGCGGCACCTGGCTCACTCACGGCATGTGGGATGGGTCAAACATGGGGGTTTGGGCGACAATGGGCTGACGTGCCGAAGTTCCCGGGTATAGTCACACCCCTGGTTTTCGTGAGAAAGGGTCGTCTCTTGAGTGCGAATTCGATAGGCTGGAAGAAATTCTGGTCTGACAAGGTGATACAAAGTGTAAATTGTGTGTCAATTTCTTGAAGTTGTGCCAGACTCGGCCTTTTGCAGGGTGAACGACCTTCCTGCCCCTCGAAAAGCAACAATGTGCATGATGTGATTAATCAATTGGGAATTAGGATAAAGGTTCTTCTACCACGATTACACCAAGAGCATTTGTCACAATGCATTTGCGTGCCCTTGTCTTAGAATTATGCAGATCTCGTACGCATTTCAGAAAACGATCAAGGCGTCGTTGACGGTTAACATGGGCGAGTGGTCGTCCGCAGTAACAAGCACCCAACACCAGCAGATTGACATTCACATTGCCATTGTTGGATGGATCACCTCGAATTGTCTTGATTCTTGAAGTTGTGTGTAGAGGTCCAAAGTCTGGTGTAGACACACGTAGACACCCATCTTGACAAGTGATATTCACCCGGAAAAAGATCCTGATCAAGTTAGCCAAATTGACATGAAGAAGTCTGCGAACAAAAATTAATGATTTCGCGCGCTCCTCTGGAACCCCCGAAACCATCCCGGACCCCAACCGCCTCGTTGCCCACAAGCCACTCCGCGAAACGGGCACCCGCGATTCCCGACTGCGGGACCTGGCGCGTTCACCGGCCGCGGAAATCCCGGAGGAAAGGACATGACCGGACAGAGAAGTGATTTGTTGGTCCAGGTAGGGATTGCTCATTGACCGGACTGTCCAAAGAAGTGGGTGCCTCCAATGTCAGAACCTTTTCCAACCACACTCCCATCGGGTAGGGACTCATTGGTGCACGCGCATTTTTTTCATATGTTCTCGCTTGCGCACGGCTCACTATGCTTCAGATATTCGGCTCATGTGCAGACACACTTTTGGCTCATCTGAGCAAACCACCCAAACAAACAGGCTCATCTGGTTTGGGGATGGGGGAACAAGAACCTTCATGTCAACATTGCAGCGGTCATGCATGGCCACCACTTACCTCTTTCGAGAGTCCTCTAAACCTTCTCTCAAGACCAACAGACCCAACTCTTCCGAGAGCGCATACTCTTTCGAGGCCCATCTCTTTCGAGAACCACCCCCTTCACCTTCACCCCTTTCAAGACCAAAACCTCCAAGACATCTTTGACTTTTTGAACAACGACACCGAGAACCAACAAGTCACCCATCGAAGGTGTACGTCGACGAGAAGGTGTGGGTTTGGGAGCAGCTATGGATTCATGAAAGCATAAGAGCTAGTGGCAGCTAGTGCAGCAGCCAATTACCTGCAATTAAGAAGCTCCAAATACAACATAGAACACGCAAGCTAGTTACTGTAGGTATTACGGTATGTTAGGTTTAAACATGTTTATAAACCTACAGCGCCAGAAGGTTCACACACACAAACAAAGCTCCGGAACACACAATTATTGCTTTCCGTGGTACAAACTCTCTCGGTCTAACTGATAGCCAGTGATATGCAAACAGACCCTTCAACGGGAAGTCCATGCGATATTGGCAACCATCCCCGCAATGAACAAACACGTCCGACGAAAGACTTCAATGCTACTAGTAGCGATGCCCTTGTTACTAGTAGCTTCTTGCTCCTGGTAG